GTATTTATGATGGAAGCAGACCAAGAACAGCTTTATAAAAAAACTATTCCAGTGATTAAGTCTACGGGTGGAAAATGCAGACCAACCAAACCAAGTGAAAATGAACACTTGCAGAAATGTATGTGTTGTATTATTGCTGAACTGTGGGTTCTTTGTAGACATATTACCAAATAATGAATTCCTGCCCACTTGTCGTACCTAATGTCGTAAAAATATTTGATCTGTTGACGCTGTTTTCCTGAATTCAGTCTGTGTCTTTTTCACTCTATAACTCGCTGCTGCTCTCATGAACAACAGAAATGATTTAGGCCTAATCTTTGAGACAACGTGGAGACAAACATTTACACATTGAGTAGATTTTTACTTACAGAGCAGCCACGGCAAAGATGATTCCTCCATTTTAAATCTTGGTCATCTGAGATGAGCACATTAACATTTACCAGTCACACCAACTAAAACCTCCTTCTTCTGTCTGTAGCATTGTTGTGGTTTTCTCTTACGCAGTTAGCAGGAAATGGGCTTTATGATCAGTCTCAGTGACCTATATGGCTTTGGACTGTGAGAGAAAACCAACACAGACACAAGGGCTGACACAAAAAACAAGGCTGACACACAGTCTCTTAACTAGTTTGCAGAAAGTGTTAGATTATATTTATTCATTTAGCTGACACTTTTATCCAAAGCGACGATAGACAATTTCTGTTTACGTTGCACGCTTCTGGAGCAACTAGGGGTCTTCCTCAGGGACACATTGGTGGACGTGTCACAGTGGTCTCTCACACCACAGACATGCATCTTATCCTCTGCGCCATCTCCACCCTGCAAGTGTTCGTGTTGTAACAATGATAATGACCTCAGATCAGACCAGGATGAGCCCTCGGGTGTCTGTTATTGTTTTGAACTTTGAGATATGCTCAGTGTTTATTGCCACCTGTTCTGTTTCCTGTTTCTTATGTAAACAGGTCTGTGACATAACTTCATTGTGATTGGTGGCTTATGTCTCTGCTTGGTGGGGGTTTGGTGGCTGCGGTTCCAGCTGGTGGCAGATCATTAGCTGCTCCAGTAGAAGCGGAGACGGTGGAGGCGGCTGGCGCGTGGGGGCATAATGGCGTCTTCCTCCTCTACAGGCCACAGTTTGATCTTGTTCAAGTAAGGGCCACCAGTTCTGTTCCTCTTCTTTTTCTCCTGTTAGGAAGGTCAGTTGTTTGTGGTTGGTTTTCATTTGTTTGTTTCATAGGTTAGCGCTGATTTTGAGTTAGAGGTGTTTTGTTTGTTTTGTTGGCCTTGGCTCACCCTGAAGTGCAATTTAGCTTATCACTATTTGTTTCACTCTGTTATAAATAAATCCACTCTTCATCTATGTTATGTCTGGGCCTCTAGACCGGGCGTAACACTCACAAAATATAATGTAGCCTGTAGAAAATGATGTTATAGCAGCAGCTCCATCAGTCAGTAATAATTGGTTAGTTCAAAATAAAATCATCGACCTGCAGAAATAATAAGTCTGTTGAAATTAAGGGTAACAATTAAATTAATGGAAAAAAAAAATCTGGTCAACAACCAGGACAGTAGGAAAATATTGTTTTCTTTTTCCAGTGTTCTTGTTTGATCCTGGCACACTTGCCGTAGTTGATTATGTCATACCTCATACCCAGTGCTAAAGGACACGCCTACTACATCATATGACAAAAAGTTCACAGTTTGGTTAGGTTTCGGGAAGGTTATAGTTTGGGATAAAATAAGTGTTTATCCAGGAAGTTATCTCAGGGGGCGTGTCCTGTAGTCTGCCAGACTGCAGGTGGACCCTTCTCATATCATTTGCCATTCCTCAAAGTATGTTGTGTACGTTCATGCACATTTAATATTAGACCAACAAATATTATGAGTATTGTGAGTGACCCCATTTATTATAGATCCCAAAATTGTACTTTTGAGTGCTTCATGTTTGTAATACATAGATAATATATTAGAGTACATAGTAAATATCCTAGCACATTATAATATTGGGTGTTTCTGGTTAACTTGGCGAGTCTTTGATAATTATATACATGGCTTTACAACATTTTAGCTCACCAGCCAGAACTGGATTTGGCTGTTCAATTTGAAGATTTGTTCCTTTGTTGTACCTGTAAGACTCATATTTAAAGCCTTTCTTCGTCATCTGTGATGTGAAAACATGTGGAATCAGTTTCCAGTTTGTGTTCAGGAGGCAGACACCATCTTTTTACCCATCAAATTTTTGTAAATATTTGAATATATCTTTTCACTTAGGGGTGTTCTCACTTTTGTTGCCAGCGGTTAAGACATTGATGGCTGTTTGATGCGTTATGTACACTGTTATACAAGCTGCGCACTCACCACTGTCATTTCTTCAGTGTTGTCACATTGAAAGATATAATCAAATATTTACAACAATGTGGGGGGTGTGCTCACTTTTCAGTGAGTAAATACAGCTCCAATTCAAAAACACTGAGCTATCCCTTTTACAGTGTGTGTTCATGGTGATGAAGGAACATCATCTGATGTGTTTTAATAGTTTCTGGACAACATCAGAGCTTTATGGCTCAGAAGAAGAAGAAACATCAGACTGTGATTGACACGATCCGGCTGTATCTGCTTCTCAGTCCCAGTGTTTCCTCTGTTTCTCTTAATGTTTTGGTGTTTAATTGACATCCTGGCTTTCCTCCCCAGGATCCAAACATCTAATCACCTCTGGCTGTTCACATCAGTGGTACACACGTCACGGCCTGACAGTGTTATGTATTTTTGCTTCCTCGTTTGCTCTGCTGTTTTTTCTCACCTGCCAGAAACTGGACTTTCAATCAGGAGGCCAGTGGAGGTTTTCCGTTCTGAAATAAAAAGTCAACATTAAATGTTTTTATTTAAGTTAAATAACCTGAGTAAGTTCTGCAAGTTACGTTACTTGACTTACCCAAGGTAATGGTCCAGGTCTTTTAAAACAATAAGTGGATGACAGAGATGCTCACAAGTCTTTGAGCTAGAGTCCAAGTCAAGTCTCAAGTCCCTCGTGGTTATAATGAATGTTGCTATAGCTATAACTATATATATAACTATAAATAGCTATAACTTTAACCTGTTTTTCACTTCACAGAGCACAACCGTGTAGCCTAATGTGCAATGCGTACAAGGCACAGCAGCTACCGGTGTTTGCTGTCCTCTCTCATGTTTGGCCGCGCGCAGCAGATATGTAGTTTGTGTTACGTAGGCAGGTTATAAGTAAGGCAGGGAGCAAGCTCATCAGATGTTTACTAAAAATAAACATCGTTCACGAGTCCCGCACCTCGAGTCCGAGTCAAGTCTTACTCTCTGGTGGATGATCTACTGTTGCACGGATATAAAGGGCTGATCTTCCTTTCCCTCTGGATTTGATGGACCTTTAGCTCCTCTAGTGTCAGTGTATGTTGTTTCAGTGGTGTCAGTTTACAGGTTGCGTCGGAGGTCACAGGATAAAAACTCTCAGTGGGACTCACTATCCACAGGCAGTTATCTGTTGTTTATGGCGTCGCCTGTGCCTTAAATAGTCAGAAACAAAACCACAGAGGTGGGACCAAGTCATCGTTTTACAAGTCTGGGTCAAGTCTCAAGTCTTAGCACTGAAGTCCCAAGTCGTGTCCCAAGTCCAGACTGATCATCGATCATCATCGAAAATGTGTTTTCAAGTTAAAAATAAAACAATGTATTGAATGAAGAGAGGTGCAGTTTTACACAACACATTTCATGATTTAAATTAAATGTTCATGTAGGGCTGCTAATTATTTTGGTCAATATTGAGATCACAATTATTTAACAGGATTACACAGTGCCTAACATTAACTAGTGGAATGTAATACTTTCTTTTTAAAAACTAGGCTACTATATATGCATAACTCCAAAATCCCATATAGGCCATGAAATAAGAAACAATAATCCAACATCATTAACTTTAAGCAGCATCTAGAGTGCAAGAGGATGACAGCAGCACAGTTTCCCCCAAGTTGACAGTTTTGGGTGAGGGATGGGTCACTGAGGGGGCTCTTTTATACAGCGGCTCAGCTGTAAAGTAAAGGGGTGCGCTGGATTCATAAAATAAAACGACTGTCTCACACAGCGCTATTATCGTTTTATCTTGATTAACTTGTTTTTAGAATCCGTGGAAGCAGCTTCACACAACAGCTGCAGCAGTCTCTCTACACTGTTTCGACCTGACCTTTCTCTTCTCCGTGAGGTGGAGGAATTTTGGAAGTTGCTTGGCGCTGCGTCACAGCTGTTGTGCATGGATTAGCCTCTGCGTAAAATTCCTCCAGAGGGAGGGAACGATCACGAACCGTTCACAGCGTGCCGGTAGCAGGCCTACAGGCTACACAACCCATTGTAGGTCCCCGGAGAGGGAGTGGGTCGCACAGGGCCAGGAACAGGAGACCACAGAGCGGCCGGCCGCGCTTCAGACGGTCGGTGATTGTTGCCTCTTGCTGGAGGAAGCCACACGCTCCCGTCTAATTGAGCACCGCGTTATGTTGATGCGCTTTTTTTACATCATAATTTATATTCGGGGATGGGGAGTGTCAAGTCAGCTCAAGTCAAAAGGCTCAAGTCCAAGTGAAGTGACGAGTCATTGCTGTTCAAGTCAAAGGCGAGTCGCAAGTCTTCTTTGATTTTGTCAAGTCCAGTCTTAAGTCATCATTTTTGTGACTCGAGTCCATCCATATTAGCAACAGGAGGGGATGAGTGGGAGCTATGAGGAGGTGATAACAACTCTGCATTTGCATAGCAGCAACAGCAGACTGGCCTCATGATTGTTTGGTTGATCAACCTACTGGTCACCTCGGTCTTTATAATACAGGCTTGGGTAAACTCCTCCCTTACATTACTAACAATAATGTACTTTAAAGTTATGTATAATAAGTAAGCCTGTATAAAAAATACTGCACTTACTGTGATATAACCTACGTTACACATTGTATTCAGCCTATATTAATCAAGGACCTTGAGGCACATGGTGATTAAAAGTAAGAGTTTTATTTTATTTTTAAAAGGCAAATGCAAAAAAACAACTATGTACAAATAAATCGAGTCAGTAACATCAACTGCAGCTGGGCTGCGGGATGAAATGTCTGTCCACCTCAGAGTCATGTGGTGGAGGCTTTCTGTCCGAGTACGGCCCCTTATGCAGGCGTCTGTGATGCAACGCTGTGTACTTGGGACTGGCCTCCAGCCTTGCCTGCAGCGTGGCACAGAGGTCGGTGAGCTCCTGGCTGCGGAAGCTCGGTGGTCTCACAATCCACCCCGACACCCCCTCAAAGCTGCCGTCTTCCTCATCGGACATCAGATCTATAGTGACGCCTTTCCAGAGCGCCACTTCGTCTGCCGCCAGTACACTCTGCCTCGCTGCCAGCAGCTGTAAACAAACAGAACAGACAGTCAGTGCTGCACAAATCTCACTGAAATATATCGTCACATTGATCTAATGCAATAAATCTTACCCGCTTCCTTCTCGACCGACACCGGGCAGAACTCTTAATGGCCGTCGCCTTGTCAGCAAGATCTGGCTGACTGTACCGGAAGTTTCTGCGTACTGTCTCATAATGGGTCTTACAAGCAGCTGGAAAACAAAATTGAGTGTGTTAAAAAATAAATAGCATAGCCCCAGTGAATGTAAAAAGAAAAAGAAAAGTCAGCGTTAGGCTACATACACAAAATGGCGTCATTATTCACACCCTGTAAATCTGGACTTGCTTGCAGAGCTTCAACCAAGTGGGACGTGACCGCCTCGTTAGAAGGTGAACACAGTCTGTGAAAACAAACGTACTGTCAAAGAACAATTAAAAACAACATTTACTTGTACACAGCAGAATAAATGTCTATTCTGTAAACCTTACCCTTGCTCAGCATCATAGCGCCTGCAGTTTGCCTCGGAGTTGTGCAGGCGACGGACCGCCTCCTGTGACATAAGGCAAGACGGTAAAGTCACTCGTGAACAAATTTCCACTGATTCTGGCCGGTTGTAGCTTTTAGTAGTGACCGAGTCTTACCGCGATTTTTGGATTCTTCACCCGTCTTTTCCTCTTGCGTTCATCTACACCGGAGCAGTTGTTGGATTCGAGAACAGCCATTCTCTCCTCCATGGGCAACATTCTGGCGTTCAGTGCAGAGAACTGTTGGCTCGCATCGGCAATAAACTGAGTCAGCTGGCGAGACAACCCACTGATAGCAGCCAGCAGCTTGTCGTCTGTTGGGGGACTGGCTGAAACTGGTCGTTGGGACAGACCATGTTCACGAGGAGCCTCTGGGGTGTTGAAGGTCAGACGCCGTCCAGCCATTGTAGTATAGAAGAAAGCAGCAAAGACACGAAAAATAGCACATTAAAGAAATTCTGAGTAGATGAAGGAGAACATGTTCATGGTCTGGTCTCACGAGTTCTTCAGTGTGAGTGTGACCTCGCACGGGATCAACCTTCAATCTAATCAATGTGCAGTCACACACAAGGTCATTGTCATACAGCAGAACTAGCGAGATGAGCATATATATATATATATATATATATATACACTACCGTTCAAAAGTTTGGGGTCACATTGAAATGTCCTTATTTTTGAAGGAAAAGCACTGTACTTTTCAATGAAGATAACTTTAAACTAGTCTTAACTTTGAAGAAATACACTCTATACATTGCTAATGTGGTAAATGACTATTCTAGCTGCAAATGTCTGGTTTTTGGTGCAATATCTACATAGGTGTATAGAGGCCCATTTCCAGCAACTATCACTCCAGTGTTCTAATGCTACAATGTGTTTGCTCATTGGCTCAGAAGGCTAATTGATGATTAGAAAACCCTTGTGCAATCATGTTCACACATCTGAAAACAGTTTAGGTCGTTACAGAAGCTACAAAACTGACCTTCCTTTGAGCAGATTGAGTTTCTGGAGCATCACATTTGTGGGGTCAATTAAACGCTCAAAATGGCCAGAAAAACAGAACTTTCATCTGAAACTCGACAGTCTATTCTTGTTCTTAGAAATGAAGGCTATTCCATGCGAGACATTGCTAAGAAATTGAAGATTTCCTACAACGGTGTGTACTACTCCCTTCAGAGGACAGCACAAACAGGCTCTAACCAGAGTAGAAAAAGAAGTGGGAGGTCGCGTTGCACAACGGAGCAAGAAGATAAGTACATTAGAGTCTCTAGTTTGAGAAACAGACGCCTCACAGGTCCCCAACTGGCATCTTCATTTAATAGTACCCGCAAAACACCAGTGTCAACATCTACAGTGAAGAGGCGGCTGCGGGATTCTGGGCTTCAGGGCAGAGTGGCAAAGAAAAAGCCATATCTGAGACTGGCCAATAAAAGAAAAAGATTAAGATGGGCAAAAGAACACAGACATTGGACAGAGGAAGACTGGAAAAAAGTGTTGTGGACGGATGAATCCAAGTTTGAGGTGTTTGGATCACAAAGAAGAACGTTTGTGAGACGCAGAACAAATGAAAAGATGCTGGAAGAATGCCTGACGCCATCTGTTAAGCATGGTGGAGGTAATATGATGGTCTGGGGTTGCTTTGGTGCTGGTAAGGTGGGAGATTTGTACAGGGTAAAAGGGATTCTGAATAAGGAAGGCTATCACTCCATTTTGCAACGCCATGCCATACCCAGTGGACAGCGCTTGATTGGAGCCAATTTCATCCTACAACAGGACAATGACCCTAAACACACCTCCAAATTGTGCAAGAACTATTTAGAGCAGAAGCAGGCAGCTGGTATTCTATCGGTAATGGAGTGGCCAGCGCAGTCACCAGATCTGAACCCCATTGAGCTGTTGTGGGAGCAGCTTGACCGTATGGTACGCAAGAAGTGCCCATCCAACCAATCCAACCAATCCAACTTGTGGGAGCTGCTTCTGGAAGCGTGGGGTGCAATTTCTCCAGATTACCTCAACAAATTAACCGCTAGAATGCCAAAGGTCTGCAATGCTGTAATTGCTGCAAATGGAGGATTCTTTGACGAAAGCAAAGTTTGATGTAAAAAAGATCTTATTTCAAATACTAATCATTATTTCTAACCTTGTCAATGTCTTGACTCCATTTTCTATTCATTTCACAATGTATGGTGGTGAATAAGTGTGACTTTTCAGGAAAACACAAAATTGTTTGGGTGACCCCAAACTTTTGAACGGTAGTGTATATATATACACACACACACACACACACACACGGTATACACAGAGACATGTCTGTGGGAGACTACTAAGATCTTAGACGTGAAGAAGCAAGCAGATGGGACGGAAGAATCTTAGAAATGTTTTCAGACAACAGGAAGCAGTATAATTTAAATTATATGATCATTTGAAGGATGTAGTTTGTGCTGCTGTTAAATCCTACTGAATTAAAACACAAAGGTTGTCGTGGTTACTTTAATAATTTGTTTGTGAATAGAAATATACAACGATCAGCTATAAGAAGGTCTCCCTGACCCGTCCAGGCCTGGACTCCACTGTGTGTTCTGACACCTTTCTATCAGAACCAGCATCAACTTTTTCAGCAGTTTGACCTACAGCAGCTCGTCCGTTGGACCACACGGGTCAGCCTTCGCTCCCCAAATGAATCAATGAGCCTTGGCCGTCCACGACCCCGTTGCCAGCTCACCACTTTTCCTTCCTTAGACCACGTTTGTTAGGTACTGACCACCGCAGACCGTTTTGGGGATATTCTAACATATTAATGAGGACAAAATGTTTACTTGCTGCCACCAAACAGCAGATGACCGAAGCATTCATCTTTATTTGACTCCCGTGATTCAGAGTCAGAGCAAGATGAAGAAACAAACACCTCGCGTTGTGGCACAAAGACCTTTGAACAGCAAAGTTAAAAGATTAAGAGGCAATCAACCTCTTAGTATGCAATGGACATGTGAATATGTGCTGAAATGCCACTATTTTAGGAGAACAAAAGGTTGGGATGTGGTCACGTAATAATACAGCTGATATGCTGTATGTGAAGCACAGTGGTTTGGTGTTCGGCAGAAAAACCTCTTAGAAAAACTGTACAGTGGAGCCTCTGTCTCCATCCCAGCAGACAGTTTGAGAGACATGCAATGTTGTAAGACTGACCCCGAATAGTCGAAGATTCGATGGGCGGGAGCTTCGCAGCGAAACAAGGATCATGCCATTTTGGTGATATGGGGGTGCTCAGTTTACACAGAACTACCAGTTTCCTCCCAATAAGTTAATATACAGGCTATTACAATATACATTTAATGTTTAATGATGTAAATAAAAATGTATAAAGAATAAAATTTTAATTAAATGTTTTTAACGTGAGTGAATAAATCCAGAACTGTAATCCTAACCCTGGGTGGTCAGTGCACATGTGTAGGCGTAGCGTGTGTGTGTGTGTGTGCGTGTAGGTGGAGAATAGAAACACTCGCTGAAGAGACCGAGCCCCAGCTTCACTGATGTTGTGCCGAGTTGTCCGCACCTTGCAGGACTTTCGGATAATTCCGTTGATGTAGCACACAATGAATGTTTTATCGTTTTTAAATAGTCGGCTGCTTGAAATAGACCTGCGAGGAACCGCGACGTGCCTGCAGTTGTCGACAGCACGGAGTCGACTGCTCTGCCACGACACGCAGACGGGTAACATGTCAGAATGTAACTTACTCCATACTTGGATCTTGAGCAGAAAGATTAGCATATGTGCTAAGTGGTGTGGAAACACTAACAGGAAGCACAGCCAAACAATAGAAAGCTGTTATATAGAATACCAACCTAATAACCTGTCTACCTCACTGTGAGGATGAGACTGGGAATCATTTTATGTGTAAGGCTTGCTCTAAACATTGTTTCCTGCTTTTGGAGATGCTTGATTAAGATGGTTATGTTATATATTGCTGTGCTACAGCCACCAGGGGAAATATTGGTTTTGCAGATATTGCAAGTAGCTCAATCCATGCTCAGTTAGCTCTCCTAGCAAAATGTTCAGGTCTACCGGCGTACTGCTGATGCACTGCGTAGTTTGCGCGTCATTGAATTGAATAGATCAGCCCCTTGTCACCGGTACCCGATCCAGCTATTTGAGTCAGAATCAGGCTGACATCAGTATAGGATCGGTGCATCCCAAGTCAAATAGTCATGCATTCAGGTTTCCTCGCTTAATCCCCAACCAGACAGACATTTATACGAATAGCTTGCAGTGAACAGACACCTCAGCCAGCATAATGTCTTCCTGTTGAGCTCATTGCTGGAAGACGTGTAGTAAACCCAGCCACTGTGCATTTAAGCAAGACAGTAGAAAAGGCGACTGTAGTCATGCCACTCTGCACAGAGGTTGAGATGCAGGAGATTCAGCTAATATACGGGGCGGTGTACCAAGACATGATTATCCACACTGACCTTTACACAGCTGCAAATATGTCAGTGTAAAAACTGTAAGTTGTAAAATGAGATCTTTGAATGAATTTAACAGTAGATTCAGATACACGATGAATCAGAACGATTTCTTGTAAATGGACTAAATCTGGGTCGAATATTTCCTCTGTGTCATTTTTCATTTGTAGTCACATATTTTGGAGGGAAAAAAAAAGCGTAGAAGATTACAAAAAATGTGTGAATGTATTAATTACAATGCTCTTTAGTCAAACACAATAAAATCAATGGGTTACTTTAAACTTGCTTCAACAAACCTTTGTTAAAAAGTGAGCATCTGGTAACATTTGTCACCAGATCACTAAACTAAAACACCCTTTGTTGCCTGATCTATTTAAACAAGCAATAATCTTTACACAGAGTCGGTACCTTTTAGAAAAAGGTGACCCTAGACCTAGAGCAGAGGGGGTCATGGGGGCAACATTGAGAAACAAAGACAACATCATTCCTGCAGGTGCTGCTCCTGTAAACAGCCATTAACCTGAACGTCCATCACAGCGTTCAAGGACACAAACGTTTAAAAAAAGTCAGTCATTCTGACAAGTTTCCATCCAAAAAGGTAATAAACCAAACATTCAGAGCAAAAAACCTGAATGAAAGCAGAGAATATAACACACCGTTTGCTTCACCTCCCATAATCTCCTCATTGCTCAGTGCTAGAAAGAACAAACACCTCTCTGTACAGTAGCACAAACTACGTCCTCCAAAATAATCAACCGAACATTTAACCCTTCATGAAGGAGAATTTGTAACATGACTTAAATCTAGCTAGCTGTACCTAATAAACTGGACCACGCATGCTCCCATCATCCTGACGGGACACTTTTCTGTTGGACTCTTACCTCGTTTTGTGCTCTGGGAGTCCACTCTGAGGTCTAGATGACTCCGCCTCCTGTGCTTCCTCTTCACAGACTGACCTCTGCAAGGAAATAATACAAACAATTAAAAAAATATAAAAATCCTTCAATTTAATTCTGTGTGTCAGCGTTATTCCCTTAAATACATAACTAATGTAATACTGGGTAACATTATATAATAGTGGAACCTTGTATTTGTTATCTGATGATCCGGGTTCCCCAGATCCTCCTCATCTAGGCTGGTTCTCTGTACTGTCTCCTCAGCAGACTCCTCCTCCTCATCTTCACCCTCCTCTTCCTCAGCGTGGCCTAGGATGTCCCGGCTCCCCGAGTCCTCCACATCTGAACAAAAAAACGTTAAAGGAGAAAGAGTCAAAAAATGTATTTTGCTATATTCGATGTATTGAGACAACAAAATGTGCTTCATGCAGCTTTTCTTCTTTAACCTTTTAGAAGAGTACAGTGGTGCAATTAAGTACTATTACCACACTGTAAAAAAGCTCTCTACCTACACTTTAGCCTATGTGCAGTCCCTGTGGTCGCTGGAGCTTGTGGTTCTCCTTCTTCCAGACCATCTGTTCACTGTGGAGTACTATCTTTGTTGTCCAGACTAATATCTGTCCATGCCGTGCATGTTTTGTGTAATTTTCTGTTAGCGACCAGAAGGACTGAACATAGGCTACAGGGTAGGTGGAAAGAGATAGACTATAACCTGCCTAGTAGATATAAGCATACATCTATCCATCTATCACACAATTTAAAATACACTTCAACAATAACACTGTAAGCTAGGCCTAAACCAGATAGATTTACAGCTGGTAAATGTGGAGCTAATTGTAATTACTTTATATAGTGCTTAAACTATAATTCTTATATTTTGCATCATAGTAACTAAATGTATTAAATAAAAGGTAGTGGAGTAAAAGTACAATATTTGCCTCTAAACTGTGGTTGAGTTGAAGTATCAAGCGGCAGAAAAGTATGTTAAAGTGGATATAAAGACGCACTCTGCTCAGATCTGTGCTGCTCCTCCTCTGCAGGGAGTTCAGCTGCTCCTCCAGCCGCCGGCTCACAGACAGGAAACTGGTGATCTGGATCAGAAACAGACAGCAGGGTTTGTTTTTAATGCAAGAAAACTAGATCACCATCAGAGCTCTGTTCTTCAGCTTTGCCAAATCAATATTAAATAGATAAAAATATTCACCCATCTGATTATTATATTTTGTTAATCTAAATGCGCAAAGAAGTACCACAACATGGTACTGTACTACTTTCCATCACTGTTCCCATTAGGGTGAAATTTAACTGTGATTAAATCTTACTGCAGATTAAAAGTACTGAAAACTAGCTCATTAAAAATTCTCTATTAAAAAATAAAAAGATCATGGTCCAGGAAACCCCTGGTTAAGATTTTTATATTAAATAACCAGATTTTTTAATGGAGTTTGGTGCAGTTTTGAAGCAACAGTTGTTCCTCACCTGTCCTACAGAGAGAGACCCGAGGCTGCAGCACCGCCTCCAGCTGCCTCCTCTGCCGGTCGATCTCCTGCCTCAGACCCGAAGCCTCCTCCTCGTACCCGGCTACGGTTCTCTCCACAACCGCGAAGATTTCCTGCGCGGCTGTTGTCAGTTTCTCTGCGATGAATCCTCTCAGGATCTCTGTTTTGGACAGTTTATAGTCCACAGAGTCCACCGAGGAGACAAACAGCACGTTGACTGTCTCCATTTGTTCCCGAGAAAGTCTCAAGTTTGACCAGAGACGTATTTTTTCAGTGGCCTCCAGGTGGCACTGCTTCGGTTGCACACAATAATGTCCGACTGAAAATCATCACAAATCAAAGGTTTCCGCAGTCTTCTTCTTCTTCTTCTTCTTCTTCAGTTCGAGGTGCATCACCGCCACCTACTGTGCTGGAGTGGAGGCCAGAGTTCCCTCTTTCCCTCAGTAGACGACAAAGAAATTTAAATCCTCCTCAGTCATAGAGTTTCTTTAAAAATCTCAAACAAGTCTTTATTTTTTCTTGCCTCAATGCTAAATAAATTTCATTTATTGCATTAATTCATTTCAGTGTGTCTTTGTATCATCATCAGGCTCTGAACTCTTAAATCCTTCCTGTTTGACTTCCAGCTGGGTTCTCAGCACTGACTTCTCTATCAGGCAGACACAGTCAGTGAGTTTCAGACGCTGACAGAAGTTTGCTCTCCTTTTGTGCAGCTCGGCAGTGAGGTCAAAACTAAAGAGAAATCACACTCGGATTGGTCTGAGGTTTTATTGCAGACACACTGTAGCTTCAGAGAAGATGGAGACACTGATTCTCACTAAACACTCTCCAGCTTTAAGATGAATACATTGTGTTTTTGTGTATTTGGCATCTGTATTAGGTTTTAACCACTCATTTTCAATATTATTCATTTCAACAGTAAGGATAATGTAATAAAACACCAGACTTTTCTGTTAATGGTAACTTGAAGGCAACACATGTGGCTTGGAAAACCAGGAAGGGGGAATTAAATAAAAGACAAATTTAATGACCTAGGGAATTAATTAAGGTTCAAATATATTATTATATATTTGAACCATAATTAAAAGGAGAAAATGTAGAAAAAGGGCACAGAGGGTCATTACTGACGAGGCAGAGGTGTGTTTCAAAATACCAAATGTGTTTATTTTTAATGAAGCAAGAGTAATAAACAAACTGGAAGCTGGAAGTGCTGAAAAAAAAGGAAACACAATTAGAACTCTGATAAAATGGTAGGATTGATAATTGATAATTTGATAACCTCAAAATAAATTCAGATAAAGCAGGAACTTAATATAGCCCCTGCAAAATAACTTTATACAAAACTAAGTAGAGGTCACTTGTGGAGAGGCAGACTACACTGAGGAGTGCCCAGGAGTGCTACCACTACCCACTTTAAGTGCAGCACTGCAAACCTCACAGCATTACTCACGGCAAAATTGCGCAGTCTATATTGTGTCCCCGTGCAATTACTCACCTGCAAAAAAGTGAAGGGACCTTGCCAGGGTACCTACCCTCCCAACAAGATAGCACCCTGCTCTAAAAATATAAACTAAAAACAATAGGAATCAAACAAATTAACATACAATCACCCAGTTGGCCGGACAAATGGCAAACTGAATCACAAAAAACCCACACGAGAGAGTCCAATTAATGTAAATCAAATATAAAGCTAAATGAATACAAGTTAGACTAACTGAATGGGCAAAGCAGAACTAAACTGAACATCAAACTAGCAAACCAAAAGGGCTAAACAGCAGAGGTCTAAACACAGGAGGGAACGGGAAAAGCGCCGAAAACAATCAGCCAGGCTCAACCTTACTGTGTTAAAATACATTTAGAACCATTAACCTACTCACCACCCATGAGATGGGCCATGAAGGCACAACAAACACCAGTCACAGGGCAGGAGGGGCTTCCTAGAGGGTTCCTAACAGTGCTTCAAACAGAAAGTAATAAATTATAATCAGCTGTTTGAGGTAAAGATGTGCATGAAAGTGTTCCTTTCACATACCTGGGGCTACAAACACCAACCACTCAGGGACAGATCAGGAAGCAGAGCAAAGAAACTCACACACGCACACCTGCTAGTAGCATAATAACAAAAATTTGGACAGAACAGATCGTTCTTACAGATCAGCCATTGAAGAAATGTTTGTCCCATCTTACTAATGCTGCGTTCCAAGCAACTTGGAACTGGGAAATTTCCAACCTCCAACGAGAAAAACTATCCTGGAACGCCGCTTGAAGTTGGATTTCCTACTTGTGAACTCGAAGAAAAACTAATCGGAGACTTCACGAGTAGCAGCTGAATGACGTCAGAAAACAATGTCAGCCTCTCTGGAAGCACACATTGTAAATGGTAAACCATAAACTAAAAGGCAACAAAAAGTATATTTGCATGTATTTAAATTAAAATAATACATATGGTCATATAGTAAAACCTGTTCTGCATGTATGTTGATGAAGAAATATGTTTTGCACATTAGGTAGCTGACTACAGTAAAGAATCTCATAAAGTCATCTTTTCTGCACGTTATTGTTAAAAATGGCAAAACACTGACTGACTTGAGGGCTACTAACTTCTATAGCCAGAGGGGTTCACAGAACTAGTAATGTATGAGCTATTTATGTCAGTTGTTGCCATCCTTTTAATTAACACCTAAAGTACTGCCGAGGGTGCAACCGGTGTGTACACTTTGTCACTGTCAGCCATGATTTTCGTTCACTTTTGGCGTCATGCACCACCATGCACCTGGAATGCTTTGATGTCGGAAGTCGGAAGTCTCAACTGGGAAATATCCCAGTTCTGACCGGTCTCGAACACGGCATAAGGCCCCATCTACACTTCTGGGTTTTTATTTCAAAACGGAGACCTTTTGTTACGTTTGTGCCTCCACACTAAAATGGCGGAAACGAAGATCTAAAACGTAGAAGTTTGGAAACACTGCCGATCCCGTTTTCCGTTTCGAAACTCCGGAGTGAGTTTTAGTGAAGACGGGCAAAAACGGAGGACTTTAGAAACGATGACGCAGACGCTCACGCTCGGCTCTCTGATTGGGTCTTATAAGTCATGCAAAGCAGACACTGTGTGCACTGACAGAGTTTTTGAGTTGGTGTTTTTATTTAAATATTCTGCCTACATTTGTACTGGGCATGTTGCTGTTTACTTTGTGATGATTCCCAGTCTGTTTTCCGCCGCCACACTCCCGTGTTACATTCAGTAACAGTCCCAGCTCGTTATTAGTGCATGCAAAAAAAAAAATCTAGTCTTTGTCTGTATTTCTTTATTCTTTGGCCAATACTCACACAGTTAGTTTATGATCGCAGAGATGGACACTGCTCATTATGATGAAATATTATTATTGTTTTCTAGCTTCCCAAGACACAGCTCCATCCCCTGCAGATCCAGTGCTATCAGTGTTGAGAATTACCCTGTTCTTAAAGGGGCTGATGGGAATGTCATTAGTTCTGCAGGTATTGGTCATAAAGCAAAGTGTTGGACACATTAAATTGTTGACCTGATGATGGCGCTAGATTAAAAGTCAGAGGATCATCAATCTTATTACAGTTCTTCCTGAGGGAAACATTAATGTCTGAACCCGAAATCCATGAAGTTTCTGAGACACAGGTTTGATGGTTGTAGCCTGAGGGCTTTTTACACTAAAGCTAGGTGCCTGGTTACATATATACATAATTACAATTAATAAAGACGACAAAGGACTAAATTAAAGCAAAATCTGTCTGCCACAAGATGGTATCCAGCTCCTAATACTCCAGGCAGGACAGGGAAGAAACTGGACTTTCACCCAGGAGACCAGTGTTTGGTCACAAAAGTCAGTATTGCGTGTTTGTAATGAAGTCACTTAAATTAAGTATGGTTTGTGAGTTACATAAATAATGTTACCGAATGTAGTGAACAACGGTGTGAATTTGTGCATTTGTGCATTTTACATTGAATAAATTTGGAGCTACCCTAAATTCCTTTCTCCTCCCCAGAGAAGATGGGGAGGGGTCAAAGTTGCTTTCTCTAAGTGCTATCCCGACCATAAAACTGGCACCTCTTTGATTCCGAAGCTGATAACGCGGGGCCTGACTGTTAAACTGACAAAGGGACACGAACCAGCCATTGGCATCTCCCTGAACAGCCTATCAAAACTGGCCCCCCACACACGTTTCCGTGGCAACTGACCTTATTCTTTGTTTTATTACCACATCAAAGGGATACTCCTTGTCTCACCTAAGTGTGACATTGTCCAGGACAGCTGAACTTTCAATGTAAAAGGACTGCAGTCTCCAAGACTCAAGCATTTAATTAAATCTTTAGTTACCTGATTACGTTTGCCTCTATTTGAGTAGTTATGTTAACTGTTGTTGCTATCTGTTGTTGATATTAGTGCTGAAAAGAAGTTACTTGTGCAGCGTTTTTATTTTCAGCAAGACACTCCTTCATCTAATGTAATCCAAGCTTTCCTCATGTATAAATATCCTGACCAATAATGTGACAATTGTTTCCTGTTACCAAATGCTTAGAACAGTACAACCGTTCAACCATTGAGGTTCGATTGTGGAAAATATTTGATATATTATAATACGTGCAAATAGATTTCTTTTCTTTAGACATTAAGTTTAGAAAGGCAGTCCCTTGGGAAACCTGAGACGCCCCCTGGGGAACCACGCCCCAGGCAACAAAAGCTCTCTTCTCTTCGCTGTTGGCTCTCTTCCACTCTGCTCGGCCCTCTGGACGCTTCGGCACGCGCGCAGCGTGCCTCGCCAGGCAACGCCCAGACTCGGCCAGCGAAACAAACAGGCCTTTTGTTCGCTTGAAGCTACACACCTGAAGTGCCGCGACATCGATCTGCCTTCAGTTTGTTTTATTTTCTTTATTTCTTTTGTTTGTTAAAGTTATGAGTCCGTTAAGTTACACCGGACTAATTCAGGAACGACCAAGTTCCATTTTAAGCCTTTTTCGTCGAGCCAACTTCACCGAGGTCAGACCAAGCCACGTGGTCTCGCCAGCTACAACGAAGGAAACCTGAAAACAGCCGAATTGCCAGACGGAGGAGGCGTTTTCAATCAGACACGGAGAACCCCGGAGAATCCCTTGCAAAAAAGCCAGGATCGGGCAGCTAGCGTGGGACCCATGCAACAGGCCAAAAGCAGGCTGTCGACAAGCAGTAAGACTTAACACACGTTCTGTGATCAGATGTCCATTTTAACTCCTAAATTATGACATTAGTTTACTTTCATTAGCTCTTCTATGCCGTATTAGTCAAATGCTTCCCACAATCGAACCTCCAGGCTCATTGTTCAGCAAATGTTTATGTTCCCTGTATCCAACCATCTTTTTATCACCTTAGTTAGAGAATAAATTCACTGTAATATAACCAAGAGCTGTGTGTGTTGCCTATTTCTAGTTCCTGCCAAGAAAATTGACCCTTTAGATATGAGACTGACTGACTGATTTAAGATAATTGAGCGATTATTAACTAACTGATCACTAGTGATAATTGCATAATTATTCAAAACTACCTAGAGGTCCGGAGACTCTAGGATTATAACAAATTTAGATTTTATGAATAAAAATTCATAATTGGGTATCAATTCTTATAAATTTATTAAAATGCATAACTAATAAATTTAGGTCTACTACACGAAATTACGCAAGTTATATTTTTTAACCCTGACCAAGTAGTTTAGGTGCCTTGACCAAATTGGGACGTTTCAAAAGGAGAACCACTAGTTTTATTTTGAAAGTCTAACCGGATGTTGCATTTTTATTATTGCTAACTTGACCGCATGTTGTGGGGACAGCCCAGCTGACGGTGAGTGTCCTGGTTTTACCTTTTTTTTCCTCACTTTATTTCACCCATTGTTTTGCTCTGCCTGCCTCCCTGTGTTCTCCTCTTCTCTCCCTCTGCTCCTGAGCCCAGCCAACTACCTACACCTGCACCTCATCAGCCACCTCGTCAGCCTGCCACACCTGCCAGTAATCAACCTCATCCCAGCCTGTATTTCAACCCCGGTTCTCCACTCCATCCTCGCTTGATCGTCGTTGCTCCATTCCTGGTGCCACTCCTGTGTTCAGGCTTCCTCGTTTCTTGTTTTTTCAAACTTACCCTGTGCCTTGTCATTGTCTCCCCCTAACCTTGTCTCTCTGTCTGTTTCCCTCCCAGGTACACTCACCCTCGTCCTCCGTTCGGCTGGGCTCATCCACTGGCCCACTCCCCTTCGGACCTCCCTCTCGGCGTCCTCCCTGTTACCCAGCCTCTCCTCGCTTCCTTGGCCCCTGTGTTCCCCGGCTCCCTGGCCCCCTGTCTCCTTGGTTCCCCGTGCCAGTACTTCCCCGACGTCCTCCTCTCCCTCCACTCCAGTCCCTCTCACCCTTTTTCCCCCAATAAACCTCCTTCCCTCTGAACGCTGCATTTGGGTCCTCTCTGTCCACACACCACACCCCGTAACACCGCAGAGCCCAACGCAAAACCATGATGGGACGTCAAGGGGTCATGACCAAGCGTCCATATGTGACGTGTTGTGAGTGACAATGTGTGTGCCTTTTTCCAAAAGTTATCTCATTGCACTCTTCATACACAGTAGGTCCAGACAGTAGGTCTACTCTTTTTAACATTAGTTTAGTAAAAACATTTAAAACAGTATATAAAAGGCTAATATATCACCCTCTTTTAAAACATTTGAACCAAACAAACTAATAAATAATAACACTACTCAAACCAGAGTCTGAACAACTATCAGCTTTTATTTGGACCAAAAACATGTCAACATCTTTGTGCAATGCATTTGTCCAGGGTCTGGATCAGCTGGATCAGCTCAGAAGTTATGCTTTGTGGTGAGAGCAGTGACATCATCACAGTCATCATTCAATCCATCCTCAGCCTGGGAGGGCAGGGTCATCACCATGGAGATGGGCAGGTCATTTCCTGCAGTCAGAGCAGATTAGAAAGAAAATGTAGATCATTTATCTGTTAGTGACAACTGTCAATCATAAACACAATTGACTGACTGATTGATTCAAAGGTCAGTGAATGACGAATGATGAGTGCTACCTGTTAACTGACACCATTGGGGCTGAGGCGATGGAGGAGGCGGGGTGGGTAGAGCTGTGGTTGTAGGTTTAACTGTGGAGAGAATCCCACCCGGTCATGTGAATCTTTGGATGATAATGTCTAAAAATCAAAGGTAACCTCCTCACCTGTGACAGAGATCCAGCTGGATGGAGACTCTCCACGACCTCTGATGTCACACTTGTAGAGGCCTTCATCAGACTTGTTAACATGGTGGATGGTCATGTGACCTGTAGGCTCAGTCCTGATGAGGGAGCCATCTTTATAGAAACCAGCTGGGAGGTTGGAGGGAGGGGTCTCTGTTTTACAGTGCAGAGTGACATCATGTCCCTCCATCACAGGGAGGACAGGACTCTGCAGGATCACTGGTCCACCTCAACACAGAGACAAACTACAGCATTTCATCATTTACACACAGCTTCATCAACACTAACTCCACAGTCTGATCTTACCAGTGACAGTGATGCTGATGGTGTTACTGGTTGCTCCCTCTCTGGACTCACACCAGTAAACTCCACTGTCCAATGGGTCGATGTAGCTCATGTTACAGGAAGAACCAGCGGATTTTCCCCAGTCAGATCCACACTGAGTCCTGGTTTCTCTGGTTGTGTTCCTCCTCAGCGTCCATCCAGCAGAGCTGTCGTCCTCCTCACAGCTCAGAGAGACAGACTCTCCTTCAAACAGCTGAGAGCTGCTGGGACTCACAGTCAGAGAGGCTGGAGGAAGAGACAGAAAGATGTGGTTAGTGAGAACATTTGCATTTATTTTCTCCACATTCCTGATATTCCTACTTTCTCACTTCTTCGCTACTTAACTGATCTCTGTGTTTCACGCGCTGAGTTTCAGTGAAGAAATCTGAACAACACTCAGGTATGAGCTGCTAGACAAATGTTTTCTGCGTGTTTTTAAATTTAGCTCTCAAAGTTGGTGTTAAACAAACAGCAGAAGATCTGGCTACATCTGTCTTATTTTTCCACTTCTCTGGTAGCAGCAGCATCAGGCTGTACAGTCCTGGTATCTGAATCCCATTTATATAGCAGCAGTTTTAACTTTGGCTCCAGTCTGCAACCCTGTGGCATCAAAACTTCATTCAGTGTTTTATTGTATTTGTAAAGTGGCTGTTTCCCTCCACAAACACTGTCCTAAACACTAACTGTTCTATCAGGGAGTGAATAACTTTTCAGCTGTGACAGAAGAAGTTTGCTCACCTTGGTTTGTTGTGCAGCTCAGCAGTGAGGTCAGAACTAAAGAGAAAACACCCTCAGGTTGGTTTGAGGTTTTACATGCAACAAGACATCTGGACTTTATACAACACAAAAAAACAGCCAGACATTAGATTTGGAAATAACAAATCATATTTATTTAAGGACACATTCAACGTTTCTTCGGTAAATTTACTCAAACAGAGGAGCAATAAGTAAAGACAGAGGAGCTGGTCAGAGAAGTCAGCAAATAAATCTGCTCAATGTGTGCAGACATGCAGGCATCAAAGGTTAAACAAACACTAAAAGGTCTCTACAGCTACAATGATTTCAACGTGTTTCAAGGTTGATGTTTGGTATTTATTTCATATCAGTCCAGGTAAATGTGCCCCATACATGCACCACAAGCTTTAACATGTAATTATAGCACATCTGACTGAATCTAAATGTGTAGTTGATGGACTAAATTACTAATTTGTGTGAATGATTGACAGATTGAATGACATGTTGGTAATTCACATTAATTATTTTCTTAGCACTTCAGTACAGTAAATACCTTTTTGTTTAAACTTTTCTACATGTTTTCATCCTCTACTATTTAACTATTATTTGTAAGAATTAAAATAAATACACATTAACAATTGAAAATGAACACTTTCAGTAATGTTTTATTATTCTTTTCTGCCATATTACCAAATAATGATCAATGAAATTCCTGCTGTCTTGTTGTAGCTAATGTTGACTGTTGATGCCTTTTGGCTGAATTCTGTCTTTGTTGTTCAATCTATAACTCACTGCTGCTTTCAAAAACAACAGAAATGTTTTAAAACTTTGAGACAACGTGGAGATAAACATCCACACATTAAGTAGATTTTAACTTACCCAGCAGCCACGGTAAAGATGTTGTCTCCATTTTAACTCTTGGTCATCTGAGATCAACAAATTAATGTTCACCAGTCACACCAAGCAAAACCCTCCTCCTTCCTATATGTGTGTGTCCCGTGGTTTTCTGTCACACTGGTCAAAACTGACCAGGTTGTTGACACAGGGGTGCACAATTACTGAGAGACTAATTACACATTTGGGCAATTTAGTTTTTTATAAACAACATGTATTTACTTTGTATTTGTATATAATTTCACAACCACACATACGGAAAAATGAGAATATGATCATGTGGCAAGGCTGCAGGACATTGACTTGGAAATATCCTCAAGACTGGCAGGTAATGTGAAGCCCTGATTTATAAGCACTTGTCCTTGCTCTGCTGTGTTTCATCCCTATGGTGTCCCCATGGACTGTTGTCAGTGCTGCAGTTACATCATTATTTGTCCACAAGAGGGCTGCACAGACCACAGAAATGTTCATTCTGGTCAGTAATTAAGTTGTAGTGTACTTCCAGAGATTGTAACATAAATAAAACTAATTCATTTCATGTTTAAACCAGAATGCCTGGGTTAAATTAAAACTGTGTATTTTATTTAATTACTGAAGACTAATATTAATGTTATTAATGTATGTACAAATACATAGACTCACTCTGTGATCAGTCCCTGTCCTTAAAGGAGGTATCAAGCGAGCATCCCAGAGTTACAATCTGCACCACAAACACCACTAAATTTAGAACTTATTTAGTGACACTGCATGTTGATGGGGAGACATGGCTAAAGTTAATGAGATGTTTTGGTGAAGGACAAACATTTAATGAGTGGGGCTCCTGTCTCCCAGAGACAGATGGATATCAGGGACAGGTCCAGCATGTGGTCAGTCTAGCTGACAGAGTTGCCAGGACTGCCTGCCCTCCACCACAGCTCTAAATTTAAATGTGCTTCACTGAAGTTGATGCTTGACTGAATTGCCTGAATTGCCCCAAAACAATATTGTTTCTGTGGTGTCCGAACAATAATGCTGCAATGATGTGTTGAGAAGAAATCCGCTTGACACTGTTCTTGATCATAAAAGTTTATTACATCAAGGAGTTCAGCATCAATTACAAGCTCTGCAGCAGCTTGGAGAGTGACCCAGCCCGATGGCCACTCTGTCTCTCTGTACATCAAACACAGCTTACAGTATATAGGACATGTTTAGGTATCTGCTAAATACCATATAAGGGTCAGAGTCTGCAAACTAAAGCTCCAATCCATTTAAGGGCAAAGTTCTATAGGATAAGTGTAAACATCTTGTTGGACACCATAGAAGGGTTCAGTCCCTTCATAAACACTAATCACTACTCCCCCTAACACTGGGTCAGAGGTCAAATTCCATAGGAGGGTTCACTATTTACACACCCATCAATCATTACTCCCCCTTAAGAGTTCACTGAGCCTCTGTCCAGCTACTAGAGTGTTATTTTAAACTGTAATGGTCAAATGCACATCTGTTATACACCACATTACGTATCATCTTGCTATTTTAAGTGGGTATACGGAAATCTTTGAATCGCTGTAGCTTGGTGACATACCCTAGTGGGTATATGGCGTATACCTGCGTATCACGTAGACTACACCACTGCTATGAACGAAGCGTCTGGTGTACAAAGTCAACGCAAAGTGTGTGCGATGGAGATTTCACTTGAGTTTTGCTATACAATGCTCTGGATCATCGTCCTTATAAACAATTTCAGTTATTCAATCAATTTGTTGTATCCTGCACCTACAGCTCATGGAGAAGTAAACTGCTAAACTAACAATACTGATCAAATGGAATAAACATCTTCTCCAATTCAGTGATAACATAAACTGTTAGGAGCATGCAATCACATGAGAAAGTTTGCTAGCTGGCCATGCAAACTCATGGATCTGAAAACAACAGATGCACAAACTTAGTGTTCAGCACACTACCAACAACAACTGACTTAAGCAGAGGCTAATTCACTGTAACAACAGCTGTGTAGATATAATGTAAGTCCGACTTACATTGTCTCTGCCTGTAGGCAACCGCCGTAATGCTGTGGATCTACAGTCATCATGAATCCATGTTCTGGTTTCTTGAGGATATCTGTCACTTCTGTTGAGTCTGAAGATGAGGCATGTAATTCCATGTTAAGTGGAGCCAGAATTGATCCGTGAGGTTCTGGCAGTGGCCCCACCTCTGCCGACCCATAACAGGTGGGGCATAAACTGCTTGAGGTAAAGCTGCATCCCGCCGCCCCGTGCGGAGTGATGGGGTCAGGATCTGGGATATCCTTTGAGATGTATCCCAGTGGCCAGACAATTTCTGAATTTTGGACACATGGGTTCCAACAAACACCTTAAAAAGGCAGGAGCCTGATTGGAACCCCTCCAGCACTGTCATGGAGTCAGTCCACAGTATTGTCTGGTGGAGAATAACTGTCATTTCAGTCCAGCTAGCACAGCAAAGAGGTGTGGACAGCACCATCCTTCTGTAATGCAAGATAGGCAACTGCTCCATAAGCATGCTCAGATGCATCACAGCTGCTGGATGAGCTTCTTGGCTTGGGTTGTATATGCCACTATAAATCCCAAAGGGTCATACCTGATAGGCTGTCAGTGAGGAATTTTTGATGGGCCGGTGAGGGTAGCCAAGAGTGTCCGCTGAGCAATGACGCCTAAAGTGGGCTACATTGGATCATGTCGGTTATAAACCAGCCACTGTTCTGTTACAGCTGACCTTGCATGACCTTGCTACATTAGGCACATCTGCAAAAAAAACAGCTGGTCGGTTAATGGCTCACTGTCTTAGCTCAAACCCTCCCTCTGCTAGCAGACTGCATCGTTGGTCCCGTCATTGCTTGGCGGCAGGTATGGAGAGAAGGCTCTGTAGGCAGTTGGGCCAAGTGCAGGACCCAGCAGTAGCTGATCATTCAGAAACATATCCTGGAATCCTTAGTTTACTATTATAGCACACAAAATAATGAGAGAGGGACCAAGACCCCTCTGGCTTCACTAACTCCTCAGGCTGTAGCTTGGTGACATACCCTGTGTGGGTAAGCTTGTCAGTTTCTGCAGAATAGACAGCTGCCTTCTCTGGGTCTTTCTTAAGTCTATTGTTTGAGCTCCTCAAACTGCGAATGACTGGATGAAACCTTGCAGCTTAAGGGTACCTGACTTGCGCTGAAGGGGTGTAGCTTAGCGCCAAACTTCCTCAATGTCAACCCGTTGAGTTCTCTTCTCAAGAAGATCTATGGCTTCCTGGTCCTCTCTGGAGCTTCGGAACAGTAGCACATCGAGTTGCTGCAATCTCTCCACAGGAATGTGGAAAGAAGGTCCTCTGGGCTGTGTTCTGAGAGAAAGAGACACTGGCGTACCAATAGTGTGGCATGGCGATAATACCAATCGCCATGCCTTGGAAAGCCCATCCAGGGCCACCTTTAGCATACCAGTTCGGTGGCAGTGTTGAGGTGAACTTTCTATGGCCCTATTAGTACCAGTGGTCGTACGTTGTGGAAGGACAGAAGCGGAATCTAATCTGTAGATGAGCATAGCATCAAGATTCTGTAATGGGTAGCTCTGCTCCACCAAGTCCATGCCTGAAGCAGTGAAGGCTCCTTGTCCCATATAACATTACCCTGGATAATACATGGGAGAAATCTCACAGGTGATACTGGATCCACCGAGGTGAATAATGTCAGGGCGTATGGTTTGTTGAGCACCATCATGATCTTCACAGCCATAGTGAACAGTTGCACCTTGCCTTAACTGAGGCTTTCTCCTTCCTGCTGCTTGGGGGCTTCCCAAGGAAATTCCTCCAGATTGTAGGGGGTGTGGCATGTAGAATTGAGCTTCCCCTGCAGCTGCAGATATTTCAATAACTTGCTGAGCAAATGATCCACCTTGGATACCTTGGGTTCCCTCCAGGGAAAGTAGTATGCTGACTAGGAGGTGGACCCACATGGAAAAGCTCTAGAAGCTAAGGGAATCATTATTTTTCACATGGCAGGAGGTGAGAATGGCGACTATTTCACTCTGAGCCAGCTGGCCATGCTGCAACTGTAAGGCCTACATGGCTTGGGAGTACGGGTATGGATGATGATGACAGGACTGACCTATCATCTGAGCCTTGAGCAGTTGGTGGTGTTCCAGCAGTATGTGGTACTAAATCTCTCAGTCAGTTCCAGGTAAGGCTCATGGAGGTTATCTAAGGCCAGTTTCAGATTAGGGAGGAAGTCTGTAATAGTGGGCCTCGGTATACCATACAATGAAGGATGATGCATGTGGAATCCATTGATGGGATAGGGGCGTAGCTTGATAATACAGGACTAGTTTCCTGTTGAGGCTGCAGATTCAGCATTATTATTATATTACTATTATTATTATTATTGTTATGGCTTATAGATGTTTTTATCCTTAACCTTTCCTGCGTCTATACTCCTTATGTTAGTCTGTCCACATTTCCTAGGGTTTAGGTCAGAGCTGTGAGATTGTTTAGTGTTTTACCCCTTTTACTCTCCTCTGCTTGAATGTGTGTTCAAGTCCACGAGAGGATCTCTGTTCCCCCAAACATAGAAACCTAGACTGCGTAAATGATTAGGCATCCCTTTTCTCGAAGCCAGACTCCCAAAGCTGCCCTATGGTCCAACTGTATATATGTTGTAGTACTTCTCTTTTTATCCTCTTTTATTAATAAACTCTCCAAAGACAACGATTTGTTGTAACTCAATTATTTGCCAAATCCTCACCAGCAATATACATTTCCACAACATTCTACATGCAGCGATGTGCGCCTTGCATCCGGCATGTTTCACAATCTTTTTTTGCATGGCCATTTGCTGTTTCTTCACATCAGAGGCAGTAGAGTTCTTTAGCTAGTTTCATCCCCATAGCTTTCTCAGGACCAAGTGAACCTACCTCAATACCTCACAAGTTCTGCAGCAAAATGATCTTGTTGTGTCCAATATATGTGCATTTGACTCTTAACAGTTCAAAATAGCACTGAAGCAGCAGGACAGAGGGTCAGTGACCTCCTAAGGGGAGAGCAGTGATTGGTGGTTATGTAGGGACTGAACCCTTCTATAGAATTTGACCTCTAACCCCTTGTTTTGTTACCTCAGAATAGTACTGTACCCTTTTATGGTATCTTTATTTTGCAGACTCAAACCCTTCTATGGTACCTAACAGATACCTACACATATCCTATATAAGCTGTGTTTGATGTACAGAAAGACAGAGTGGCCATCGGGCTGGGTCACACACTGTAATTGATGCTGAACTCCTTGATGTATTAAACTTTATGATCAAGAACAGTGTCAA